TCTCGTTGCGTCACACCTCAACCCGCCTCAAAGCAAACACTGATTGGACATTTGTTTGGTGAATGGCTCCAAATTTTCTTTAACGGAGAGTCTCCAGACTGATCTGCGAGTGAAACCTTGAAAGCTCGCGAGATCAGGATGGTCTCACGAGGCTAAGAGTGTGCATGAATCGTTGTTTGTCCTGTTTGTCTCAGTGTTGCCCTGCAATGGACTGGCCACCTGTCCAGGGCGTACCCCGCCTCTCACCAGTAGACAGCTGGAGATAGGCACCAGCACCCCTCACTACTCCAGCAGGGATAAAGCGTGACAGAAAATGGATGGACCTTTAGAAACCTGTGGGGATAATGCTGGCTGGATATTTGACCACATTTCTTTTCAGAAATCAGTCCTTTGAAATCATCACATTTTCCTGGGTTAACTTTGTTATTTATGAAGGTTAATAAAAAAGCTTCACCCATTCCATACTATTTAGATGAGAATTTGGTACCATTGTCTTCAAACAAACAAATCATCAAACCATGTTTTTACAACTAAAACACGGTTTGATGAGCAGTCTGATACCTCCGTAGCATAGCGCTGATGCAGCTATAAGCCTGTAGCCTATTTTCCCTGACTGACTTCTGGTCAGAATGTCCGTCTCTGCTGAGCGGATGTGACATCAAGAAATGGTTTCAAAGCAAACAATCAAAGAGTTATCGTCAGGATGGATTTTGTGGATAGTGAGAAGTGACCGACATCCAGCTGAAACACCGATAGCAACTCCATGCACAGTGAAAAAAGAAAAAACGCCCCAAAAACCTTGTGATTTGAGGGTACGCTTCGACAGATAGCAGAAGAAAGCTGCAGTTCCTTGTTTCTGTCACAGGGGGAAGTATTATTAAAAAAATCCATTATGCCTCTTTGACAATCCAACTATTAACTTTGCTGTATATGAAAACAAGCCTCTGATTCTTTTATTTAACAAAATGTATGCAATCAACCTGGATTTCCATCATGCTTAGCAGAAGGTGCACTGCTCTTAAGATTGAAATCCTCTCTTTGATTCCTTAAACCCATTATCATTACATCCAAATTGTTCGATTTAAGTCGTAACCAACTGTAAAATAGTTATTCAGTTGTGTTTTCAAGATTAAGAATTTCTTCCTTGTCACTTTCTTTGATCATACTGATGTTTAATGAGCTTTATTGAAGATATTTACATTGGTTTTGGAGAATATTTCAGCTGATGGTGCATCTTTAAGCCCAGGTGGGTTGCTGGTTGTTCCAGAACCAATTTTCTTTAATCAGTCGGTCACAGCAGAGCTGAACTAATGCAAATTGGCTTTTGTGTAGGACCCTCAAATAATCAGGGGTCTTAGATGCAAAATTTGTAAACTGACCATGGATATAAATAATATATTTTCATAGCTTTTAAGCTCAATCTATTAAATAGTAGGGGCCCCAAAATCAAATTCTGCCCTGAACCCCGTACAACCTTGGGCAAGCCCTGGGTGACATCTTTGGAATGGCCGTTGAAAAAGGTTTCAATTCTTGTTTGTTTGTTTTTTTTCTTCTTTCTTTTTAAAGTCTATGTTGTTATTTTTTGTATAATTAATCCAAAATTTGAACGATGAAATCAAAAATAAAAGACTCCATTCATGCTTATGTTAGTCCTGAAATGTATCTTTTTAAAAAAGGAATATAAGTTTGGTCATTCTAAGTCAACAGGAAAAAAAAGGAAATGTTTAGATTGATAAATATGTGACAAGCAATTCTGAGTCTACTGCTCTTAGTTTGCAGGAAAGAGATTTCTGACTATTTATACCAACAAAGTGTGTAATTTCTAAAAACTCTCTTTCTAATCAAATCTTTTTTAGAATGGTCCACTCTCAGAATCCAATACACACAGAGGAAGAAGATAGTTCCGTAAGCAATGATTACGCCACAGCCATCGGCGCCCTGATCCTAAGCCTAGTTTTCCTCCTGGGCGTACCCGGCAACCTCTTCATCGTCTGGAGCATCCTAGCACGCACCAGGAAGCGCTCCGTCACCACCATCCTCATCCTCAACCTGGCGTGTGCAGATGGATTGCTGATGGCACTCACCATCTTCTTCATCATCTACCTGGCCAAGCAGTCATGGATCTTCGGCTCAGTTTTGTGTAAAGGTCTCTTCTACTTGTGCAATGCCAACATGTACGCCTCCATCTTCCTGATCACCCTGATGAGCGTTCACAGGATGGTGGCAGTACTGTTTCCACAGAAGCTGTTTCTAATAACCAGAAAGATTGTGATTAGGGTGATCCTGGGCATGTGGGTTCTGGTCATGGTGATCGCCATCCCCTCATTGGTGTTTCGAGAACTGGAAGAGGAGCCTGATGGCAATACCACTAAGACACGGACAGTGTGTGCGCCGAATCACACCATTGCCAGTCATGTAAGTTTTGATAATATTTTTACTTGTTTTTGGTAACATTTTAATGTAAAATGTTGTGATGATGCTGAGGATCAGTGTTGATTGCTTCAAGTTCGCCAGACTGAATCTTGGCAACTTGATTTGGAATCTTGTTTTGCTTGAAGTCTTTCATATTTCATTATCTTATGATTACATCTATTATAATAGAAGTGTGTTGTAAAAATGCTGATAACTGATTATTAATAGGACCAATTATTAATCACTTTTTAAAGCAATCCTTCATCCTGAGAAGGCATTTGGTGACAGTAGAGAGGAACAGATCAATTTTAGGAGGACCCTCTGTCAAAATCAGATCTGGGGCCAATTAACACAATCACCTGTAGTGTCTGGCTTGAGCTTGAAATGACAGGAAGAGACTGTATAAAAGCCCAAAAACTATGATTTAAGAATTCTTAGGGAAAAAAAAAAAACACACCAGATAATAAGTAGCTATTAAAATATTTTTTCTGAGGAAAAGACAGCGCTTTTAAAGCAAAGCCGAAGAGGGAGATCCAAACAAAAAACAAATAGTTCATGAGTGAATGGCTTGTCATAGACCTATTTATTGAAATTAAGTAATTATGGAAAGTGAATCTATCTTGGAAAGAAAGGGTGAGCTACAGTAGTAGTTTCTGTTGGAAAGAGAAAGCAAGAAATATACACTGCTAAAACAAATAAAGGGAAAACTCATATAACGCACCCTACATCTGAATGAATTAAATTATTTTATTGAATGCTTTGTTCTGTACAAAGCTGAATGTGCCGACAACAAAATCACACAAAAATCATGAATAGAAATCAAATGTATGAACCAATAGAGGCCTGCATTTGAAATCAAATACAACATTAAAGTGCAAAACCACACTACAGGCTGATCCATCTTTGATGTAATGCCCTTTAAACAAAATGAGACTCAGTATTGTGTGTATAAAACCTGGACATGCTCCATATGCTCCTGGTGGTGAATGGTCTCCTGAGGGATCGCCTCCCAGACCTGTATTAAAGAAGCTGCCAACTCCTGGACTGACTGTGGTGCACCGTGACGTTGGGGGATGGATCGAGACAGGATGTTCCAGATGTGCTCAATCGCATTCAGGTCTGGGGAAAGGGCCAGTCCATAGCTTCAATGCCTTGTAGGAACTGCTGACACACTCCAGCCACATGAGGTCTTGCATTGTCCTTCATAAGGAGGAACCCAGGGCCAAACACACCAGCATATAGTCTCAGAAGAGGTCTGAGGTTATGCTACCTCCTGTGGGCACATGGAGGTACTAATACTGACTCCCATCCCACAGGAAACCCGTGACCCGTGGGATTCCTGAAAAAATTTCAGTCTCTAGTGTGGCCCTCCAAAGAAGTGCGACCCCACCCCCTTTATGACCCACTGCCAAACCATCCATGTTGTTTCCAGACTATGTCACAATTTGCCAATCCTGGTGTGCCTCTGGTTTATGCCAAGCATCCTGCATGGTGTTGGGCTGTGAGCACAACCCACATCTGTGGACGTCAGGCCCTCATACCATCATCATGGAGTCAGTTTCTAACTGCTGGAGCTCATTTTTCAGGGCTCTGGCAGTGCTCCTCCTGTTCCTCTTTGCACAAAGGCGGAGGTAGCAGTCCTGCTGCTGGGTTGTTGCCCTCCACATCTGCTGGGGTACTGGCCTGTCTCCTGTTAGCTCCTCCAGCCTTTAGACAGACACAGCTAACCTTCTTGCCACTGCTTGCATTGATACACCATCCTGGATGAGCTGCACCACCTGAGCCACTTACGTGGGTTGTAGAGTCCATTTCGTGCACAACAGCATGTGAAATTAATTGTCAATCACTATTCCTTCCTAAGTGCACAGTGATTTCACAGAAGTTTTAATTGACTTAAGTTATTTTGTGTTGTTTACATTCTCCCTTTATTTTTTTTGCCCATTTTTGAGCAGTGTACATACATAGACGCATGTATTCATGCATCTGCCTGTCTGTCTGTCTGTCTGTCTGTCTGTCTGTCTGTCTGTCTGTCTGTCTGTCTATAAATGGCATTTGTTAAAACAAACATATTTCAATTATTGCATTAACAAATATTGTAATGCCAGTGTAGGTACCTTCCCTTTTCTTATCACGGCATCATTAGGCAACTCCAGTGGGACAAACTGTATTACACCCGTTTCTTAAGAATCAGATCTCTACAGGGGTTTACCATATTATTACTCATATTTGCTATTGTTTTACATTTCATCTACAGTCTAAAGCAGCCGAAACCAGAAACAATCATTCTCAGTCTTGAAGAAAAGCCTTGCCTTCTAAGACAGACTGACCTCTGCCATTTAACAATGTGACACAAAAAGTGTCAGTACTTCGTTTTATTAAGACGCGAGGACAGGGGAGGAAAAAAAAATCTTAAAGGAATAGTACACCCAAAACATGATTAGCCTTCATTTTC